AAAAGGATATAAAGAAGTATTATTTACCAAGTCAAGGAAGCAGCAATAAATAGACAAAATATAAGACTTTTGTATCATCTGGAATTCAATCCATTAGTAATTTCTATTAAATTTTAATGACAAGGATTCATATTGTAATAGCTCATGTCACTAGTAAAAACAAAGTTAAACAATGTATAAACTACAAAGGAAATTAAATTACAAAAAATTACTTTTTAATTTAGAAGATGAGAAAGAAGTAAAAAGGAGCATAGATAGGAAAAACAAAACAGATTATAAGTGTATTAGAGAAATAGAACCAATCATATATTTTATATAGCATATTTTATGTATTTGCTGAGTCCAAGGAAAGGTCAATGTGGCACTGAAGCAGTCAGATAGGGAAAGCAAGATTCCAACCTTCCTGTGCATTTTTGGGCTATTCAGATTTAAGAGACTGGATAATGCCTACCTGTACTGGGGAGGACCCATGGCTTAATTTGATCCACCAAGTCAAATGCTAATCTCTTCTGGAAACACCCTTATGGATACACCAGAAATAATATTTTATCAGATATCTTATCATTCCACAGTTCAATCAAGTTGATATATAAAATCAATCATCACAACAATATCACAGATATAAACCCAAAGTACATCAGCAAATATGGCAAATAAAACAGACTAAATTTTCCAATTAAATGACAGGCTATCTTGGTGAAGAGGATAATTGTGTGAATATATATTAAATATAAATGGGTGAAATTCTCACAATAAAAGGTAAGCTGTAAGGAGAATTATGTAAATATGTATGTAAATTTGGAAGTGGAGAGAAGTTCACTTTAATAAATCTGAATATTGTGGTGTTTCCAAGAGATTTTTCTTAGGGAAGAAAAAAAAATCTTTCAAAAGAAAAGAGGAGAAGCAAGAGAAAGAAAAATAGAGAGGCTACAATCTGGTGGTTTAAAGGACAACCAGATTTAAGATTGGTATCAGCTGATGCACATTATTAGTTTACTGCTGCTAGAGGAGAACTACCTCCTTTGCCTGCTACTCCCCTTTCCTTACCCTGCCCATTGTCTTCCTGTATTCCAAATTTCGTTCCCTTACTAGTAGTGTGTTTGCGTGTACTCATTTGAATAGCAGATTGCATTTTCTAACTAATGAAAAATAAGGACGATTAGGGTTCATGGAAATTGTATTATGGGATGACAGTTAAGTAGAGATTCTGGAGTCAAACTACTGGATTTGAATTCTGTCTCTACTACTTGCCTGCTGTGTGATATTTGGCAAATTACTTAAACCCTCAGTTTTCTCATCTGCTGTAAAAGGGGAACAATAAATAGGGCTGTTATGAGGACTAAATGGTAAATACAGTATATGTAAAGTGCATAGAACAGTGACTGATGTAAAGCACGATGTAGGTATTAGCTATTAATATTGTTACTGATTATTATCAATTTGATGGGCATGATGTATTATTTTTCCTTGTCTGTCCTTTTAGAGACCCTATAGGGCCAAAAGCTTATGGATGCAAGAAATATGTCTTAGTGCTCTGCCTGCAGCTTGAGCTGCTTCAGGATTTAGTTGATGTAGTATAGGATAGGGCAAGAGAGATGTTTCTTTAATATGAAATAATATGGAGGTTTCACAAATACTTACAAGTAGAATTTTCATATGACCCAGTAATCCCACTTCTTGGTATCTACCAAAAGGATAAGAAAACACTTAGTCAGAAAGACAGCTACACATCCATGTTTATTGCAGCATTATTTATAATTGCTAAAACATGAAACCAACCTAAGTGTCCAAAAACTGATGATTGAGTTGAAAAACTGTGGCACATATATATTATGCAATATTAAACATCTGTGAAAATTAATGCGATCCTATCATTCAACTCAAATGGGTGAATATAGAAAACTTAGTGCTGAGCGAAGTGAGCCAGACTTTGAAAGATACACATTGTACAATGTATTTCCACTCAATTTGTACTGAGTATCTGCACTTTATAGCAGATGTTGAAAGAGCTGAAGATATGATCGTGGAGAGGATGGGTGTGGATGCTAGAGACAGCAAGGGAAGAAAGTGGTTGGTAAAAAGTGGGTGGTAGGGGCCAGCAGGTGGCATGGCAGTTAAGGTGCTAGACTCCCATATGGCCAACCTTAGTTCAAGTCCCAGACCTAGTGGCTTGCTTTATCTCTGTCTCTGTCTCTCTCTGGTGAGTGCATGTGCCCTATAGCAAATTAAAAAACATTAATAGTAATAATAATAAAATTAAATAAATAATTCCTTTTTTTTTTTTTTAAAGTGGGTGTGGAAAAAATTTTAAGACAGTCATGTCTACTTAAAAGTATTTTTTGTTGGGAACCAGCAGTTAGCGTAATGGCTATGTTGCTGGACTCCCATGTAGTTGACTATGGTTCGCGTCCAGGACCTGGTGGCTTAAAACTCATGCCTGGTGCGTGTGCGTGCATGCCCAAGATCCCGAGAGGAGAATGGAGGAGAAGGGATTGCGGCGTGACCATCTCTCCTGGGGGGTGATTTCTCGCTTTCTGTCTCTATGTCTTTGTCTGTCTGACAACTGCACACTCCCTATAGCGAAAACCTCTCAAAAAAAAAAGTATTTTTTGTCTATTAAACTAATCTATATATTGTTTCATGAATGCTTTGTCAAATGAAAGTTTAATTACAAAGAATTTTTGAAAACTATATATGATAAACTTATGCTTATAAGAGAAAACAAATCAAAACTTCATTTTTTTGTATTGTCTGGATTTGTAACTTTCTCAAACTTTCTGTAACCTCTCTATAAATGTAAAGTTGTTCTAAAATGAAAACATTATTACAAAAAAGATAAAGGCAATCTGCTTCACGATGGTGGAGTAATAGATTATTACATCAAAACCATTAATATATTGGGGGCCAGTAGGTGGCATAATGGCTAAGGTGCTGGACTCCCACATACCACGGTTTGAGTCCCAGACCCAGTAACTTGAAAATCATGCTGGACATGTGTGTGTGCGTGCTCAAAATTCCAGGAGGAGAACAGAGGAGAAAGAATTGTGGTGTGGCCATCCCCTCTGGGCAGTGATTTCTCATTTTTTCTTTCTTTATCTCTCTCTTTGGCTAGCGCACATGCCCTATGACTAACACCTTTAAAAAATTAGTATATGTATTAAAATATTCAACATTAAGCAAAATGCATTCATTAAAGACTTCCTGTTTTTTTAAATAGAGAATTTTATTTATTTATTTATTTATTTATTTATTTTACATGAGAACTTGCTCCCTAAGAACTGTATTGGGAACCAAGAACTGTTTATAAGACTTGCGAGTCTTTCCTTTTTGACTATGCACTGCTCTTCCTTAGGTTGAAGAGCCTGGTGGCCATTTGCAGCTCTGTGGCCATTCCTGCAGAAACATGGCTAGTGAGGCACAACTGCTGCTGCCACATTGCCACTGTTGTCACTGCCATCTAAATCTTTGTTGCTCAGGTGCTCTGAAGGGAGGTCCCATCTCTGCCAGAGCCAGAGTCCGTCAGTCATTCGAGATGCTGTTTGCCACAGATTTGGTCCTGGTGGATCTTCTGTGTATTATAGGCTCCTCAATGTGGTACTATCTCCAGTACTATGCTCAGTCTAGAGTAGACTTGGACAGGCACGTGTGATGATGACAACCACCACCACCACAAAGTACAACTGTGTGGACCCTAGAGGTTTAGCTCTCATCCACCCCTTGTGTGTCAACTCATGCAACATACTCATCTATTTCCCTGTGACATGTGTCATTCGGAGGAAATAACTAACCATTTAATACGTTTGTGAACATGTAGAAGGCAGACAAGAATAAGTAATTGTGATTATAATGGCCTTTGAAGAAGTGAAAGATTCGGAGGAGGGGCTAGCCCTGCTGAGCTTTCTACACTGAGCATATGTTAATTTATAATTGGGTGTGTGTTTGGGGGGATTATATTACATTATGTCTAAGAACTATGGAGGGAGTAGGATACTGGAAAGAGGTTTGTTTTGTGCAACAGTAGTTCCGAGTTCAGGTATACGTGGAAGCTGACTGTCCTCTCTGCTTCATCATCATACCGCTCAATCTCTCAATGTGTTGAAGCCTTTTTAATCTTATTATATCAGTGAACACTATACATATTCTGTCTTCTAATTTGGTATTTACATAGATTTGCATATGACCCTAGGTTATGTGGTCTCCTGTTCACTCATCATAATTCATCTACGTGCTACTCTTTCAGCTTCAGTGCCAGGTAGGGTGATCCACTGTTGCAGTTGGAGCCTGACAGAGTTCCTGGGATTTGTGACTTTCAGTGTCCAAACCAGGACAGTCGTGAACAAACCAAGATGAGTTAGCCAGCCTAATCCTAGGTCTTCTATGATGACATTACCAGTTTTAATCCTATCATATCAAGCTGGGCTTCAACAAGTTCTTGTTGCACATAAAGCTAATACACACCCATAGCTCCTAGCAGTTTATTTAACATTTATTTTCTATTAGAAGGTAGTTTGCAAATTTCTTAAGTTTGTGTTGTACTTTTTTTTCAGAGTTGCAGAGTTCTCTCCTAAATACCCACATATCTTTAACTTGTATTTTTAAATACTTCGAAGAATGCTAGGATTTAATAAGGTGAATTTTAAAATTCTGCTTAAGTTTTAAGTATTACACGACTTTTTTCTTTAAGTAAAGCAATAAAATTCAGTGGTTATAAATGTGGGTTTTATTTTAGAACAGGCTTGGGCTGTTCTAAATTAGCACTCTCACTTCCTGATTATACAACATTGGGGAATTAATTAATCTCTGAACTTTCAATTTTTAAAATCTGTAAAATGGGGATAAAAATAGTACCCACTCCCTAGCGATACTGGAGGATTACATAAAATAATGACTGAACGTGCAGTGTTTAGTCTAGCACGTAGCACACAGTGAGTTATTATGTGGTAGTTGATAAGTGATTATAAATTGATTCATTGTCTTCCTTCACACATTGTTTCTTTCAGGAAGTTTATGGCAACCCAGGCAAAAGCAGTTATTAAAACTACTGACGACTATGTGCAGCCTCAGTTTGGCCTCAACAGACTTTTGCATTCAGCTGCAGTATCAGAAGGGTCAGGACTTCAAGATTGCTCCACACATCAAACAGCATCAGATCAGAGCCATGATGAAATATCAGACCTGGACAGCTACCAATCAAACAGTAAAAACAAGTCTTGTTTTATATCAGCATCCAAAAGAAACAGACCTGTCAGTGCTCCAGTGGGTCAACTGAGGTAATCAAAGCTCCTCTCTGTGTTTTGATTTCTTTTTCTTTTAACCGACCGTTGAAACTCTTTCCTTTGAGCAGAATTTATAATGATTCAATGGACTATCTAAGACATTAAAATATAACATCTCTCTAGGGTTTTGTCTCTGGTCTTGTTTTATTTCTTTTTTGAAAGCACCAGAGTAGAATGTTGTTAATTACACTGTAGTAAACATGAGGTACACTTCAACCTAGGTAATCTGGAACTCTGAAAAGAATATTTACAGCAGAATCAGGATAAGACCATAAAGTATCTTTGCTTACAAGACATTTATTTAAAAACGGAAAGTGCATACTTTTGATGCTTAATCATTATTTTGAAACAGAATTGAATTGACGTGTACTTGTTATGAAACCATTTTGTGTGCATATATATATGTGTGTGTGTGTGTGTATACACACATATATATATTTAACAGTAACATTGTTACTGTAAGCTACTAACCTAAAAATCATGGACAGAAGAAAATGTTAGTAAAACCAATTCAAAACAATAAACTGATATTCCCATTATTTTCAGATATTCAAATATATGAATATTATGTGATTTTCACTTACTTGGAGTTACTTTTTATTTACTTTGCTTCTATAGCATTACAAATTAACGTGGTTAGTTAGATGATTCTGAAGTTAAAATCTGACATTAGTCAGTTTGCTATACAGTATTGTCAAGGAAGTAATAAAGATCAAAACTGTTCTGACTAAAGAAAAAACTTAGAAATCTTAATTCTCCAAAACAATTTGAAATGAGGACAATAGACTTAACTTTAGAAACAAATTTTTATTTTGTTATAGTCTATTTGAATTTCAAATTTTTTAAAAAAATCAAATAACTTTGATAAGCACGAAAATTTGGGGAAAATCTTAGCCATTTAGTATTTCATGTTATGCAGCCATATTATTATTTTTTACTATCAGAATGTAGCATACATATATAAACAAATTTTCATGTATATGGTATTAAACGAGTGTTACAGTGTTTTTTAAATAAAATGATCAAAATAACTTATTCTGAGATATGTGTTTTATGTGAGCAGTTCTAGCAAAACTATCCTGTATTAAATCTTTCTGAATAGTTCTATTAATTATGACAATCTCATCCTATAAAAATTTTTGCTGGGGAGTATTTACATAACTTGGAATATTATTTAGAGGTTTTATCTTTCAGGGTAATATTTATTTAAAAGTTTTTGCTAATTAACATGTACCAATTTTTTCGTTTGTGTTGTATTTTTTTTTCAGAGTTGCAGAGTTCTCTCCTTTAAAATCTCAGTCGGCTCAGAATTGGCATAGATCATCTCAACGACACAAACTTCAACCACAAGTGATTAAAGTAACAGCTTACAAAAATGGATCTAGAGCAGTCTTTGCCCAAGTTACTGCACCAACCATCACCTTGGTAACTAGCGTTCCAAAGTTTTCAGTGGCTTAGTTTTTCTTCTATTCTTTTTTATAATATAAAAAAAATGACAAAGATGACATTGATTGTGTCACAATTTTCTTTTAGAAATCTGAATCTGCAAATTGCTCATTTATTCATAGATTGCAAAGACATTTCATTTCTTTCTTCAGTCTATATATAAATCAACATGTAAATAGTGCATTTAATTAAACAGATACAATAGCATTCCACCTCTCAAAATTATTAATATGACAAGCCATTTAAGGATTACAATCAGACAATAGCTAGATATTCTTCGTGCTGTGGATTACCTTTTATATCCACGTTTTTAACCGTAGAAGAGAACTATATTGAAGTTACTGAATTTGGCAAGTGACTCCATGGGGTTTCTATTTTGACAGTTAGAACCTTTACTTGCAGAACTGTGTGACTTTATGTGTCATAAACCACTTCATCTTACCTCTTGCTTTCTTCCAGTTGCTGGAGGAGAGCACAGAAAAGCTGAATCTGAACATGGCCGCACGACGAGTGTTCTTGGCAGGCGGCAAGGAAGCCCTCGAACCTGAGGATATTCCCCATGAAGCCGACGTGTATGTTTCAACAGGAGAGCCCTTTTTAGATCCATTCAAAAAAATTAAAGGTAAAAATAAATACCCTACCCCCCCACACACAGTAAATTGCTTAAGGGGTGCAATTAAAAAATGATTTTCATCCTGTCTTTTTTGCATGGTTTAACAAAACTAATGTTTACGCATTTACAGCTCAGTAAGAGGATAATGTGCTTAATGAAAGAAAAATCCACTGACAGCCACGTTTATTGCCCTTCATTAGCATTGGTGCTTAATTTAATATAGATCTGAATAGACATTAGGGAGCCTGCAGGAGGTTAAATGGTGAAAATATAATAAATTAAATCAGAGATTATTGAATTTACTGTTTAGTTTCTGTGACACTCAGACATAATTCACTAGACTTATTCTCTCAGAAAATAGTTCAAAGTTTCAAGTATCATTTATTCATTTACACTTCTGGTCTTTTTTTCAGACAGCATTAACATAATTATGAAAATGTGACCAGTAATGAACATGTATTTCTTATATATGTGTGTTCTCCTAGTGACATTTTGGTAAGGTAAATGCTGCAGATTGCTTTTCTTTTTAACCTTGGAATATATACATTTAACCTTAGACATATTTTCAGGTAAAGTTTCTTTCAAAAGTCCATTGTTTCTGACATTTCAGATACATGGAGATATTCTAAAATTAAAAATACAACATTTTTCTTTCTTCAGTGGGAAAGAATACATTTTAAGAAAAAAATAAAAGCACCACTATCTAAGATTCTTCCAAGCGTGTTACACCCAAAGTTCATTATCAAGTGCTGCATATGGAAATCAGATTTAAATAACATGGAGAATAGGACTTTGCCATAAAAATGTAATGTGTGTAACTGCTGTACTTTCTTCTGCTTTTTATACCTTTTTAGAAGTCATTTTTCCATTTTTGCTATAAGGCTGGTGAATCAAAGGCAAGTCTAGGCAGTAACTGTATAAGGGGAAGAAAAGTAATTCTGGAGTTCATTATAGATGAGGTGATAAAAGTCTTCTATTAATATTATTGTGTTAAAATGATACTAGGAATTCTATCTCTGATAATACTTGACTATCAGGAAATAAGTAATTTTTTGAACTCAGTAGAAAGTTTAGCATAATTTGGTTTTTGTAAAGAAACTTGTTGCTATCATAGTCATTAAAAATTACTTAAGTTATAGCGTAGACCCATATATTTTTCAAATTTTGCTTTAACTTTAAAATATAACTGACTTTATTTTGTATTCATTGAATCATTTGTTTATATAAAAACAAATCTTAGTGGGAAATATGTTTCTGTGATTATTTAAAAATTCAGATATTTATGTAATGATTGCTTCATTAAGATTCTTGACTCTTTTATTAATAGGAAATAATTGCCTTCTATGTGCATTATGGTGTTATAGAAGAGATCTATAAAAAATTTTATAGCAAATCTAAGAAGAAAATCTTCTGGACACGTATGCCTAAAATAACAGTGTAATACACATGACTAACGATGGTAGATGATTTTGAATGTACAAACTAATTTCCTCCTACTTTTTGTTTTCTTCTTTATCTTTTTAAAAAGCCAAGTCCAGAACAAAAAAACTTCCCTGCTTTGTTTGCATGTCTTTGGCTGTGTTTCCCTGTGACATGCACTGCTGTTCCTTTAGCACCAAAATGTTGGCACACGCTCCTGAAAATTTCACACCATCTCTTGCTGGATCAGCAAGCTTAACCCACCAAAATCTGGTGTTGTGCAATGGTTTTTGACTGATAATCAATCTTTATGCTGCTCGACAGTTGTTGCTGGGACACGGAGTAGAGCAGGTGGCAGATGTGCCTTGTCTTTTGAGAAAAGAAATTGTAGGTGAGCTTGGACACAGACTAGCACATCACATGTCCATTAAAAAGACTTCAGAGAAGTACAATGGGGAAAAGCTAGTCTTCTAAGTTAAACTCACAGAGAAGCCTGAATAGTGATACTTGGTTTCTTTTATAATGTTAAGAATATTTTTACTTACATACATATATGAAAGGTAATATTTAGCTTGATGTGGATATATATACATATATCCATATATCATCCACATATTCTCATAGACTTTTTCAAATCATCTATCCCAGTTTGAAAATTTCTTTTCTGTGTTTTATAGATAAATCAGTAATCTGCCAACTTGTCACAAGTGTACGATAATAAAACACATACAAATAACATTGAGACAGTAGATACATGTAAAAATTGAAAACTGAACATGCTCTAAGGTAAATAGAGGAAAACCAGTAGCAGGGGTGTCTGTTAACTGATGGATCGTTCTAAGTGAGCAAGAAGATTTTATACATCAATATTCAAGAGCCACTGGAGTCAGTAGCTAGTCATTATTCTAATTTACTGATGGTCATTGGTTCAGCAAACATTGAAAGCCTACTGTGTGCCACGTACTAAGCCAGATTAGACTTACAATGAAAGGGGCTCATAACCTGATTTTAAAAAAGTGTTATTTCATACCTGATTTCAATTCAGTTCAACTCAATAGAAACTTAAACCAACAAATATTTATTAAATGCCTGCTAGCTATCTAGCCCTGGTGTACAGTTAGAAGTTTTGGTCTTTAAAGAGCTTAAACTGGGTAAATTACTTATAAACCGTTAAAACCAAGAACACTACTCAACATTGTAAATCACATAGGTCCTCTAAAGGAAAATTATTTCTGGCACAGGTAAGCCAAATAAGTCAATGCATATTTTGATAATTATATGTCTATCCTTCATTGTTTTTGTTATTCTTTGGAAAAGCAGTATAGATAATTAAAATAGCCTAAGAACTATTTTTGGATTTACTAAGATAGATAAAACCTAGTAAAATACCTCTTATTTTTAAACTGTTTTATTACTTCTTTTGAGCAGTACTGTCAACAACCAGTGGCACTGGGTTTAATAGAAAACCAGAGAGCTATTCATCACATACTTTGAAACACAAAGCTTTCATATGGAGGTCAGGCCAAGGTCAAGACTGACATGAAGCATTCTCTGTTGAAATGCAATATTAGAATAATTCTTATAATTTGAAGTTGAATGCCTAATCAGAAAGATTAATTGTGTATGGGAAATATCAGAAATATTTTATATAAAGACTGTTGATGAAGATGTCTTGTAATTCTGGCATTTAAAGATGCTGACATATATTAATGACTGTGTTGGAACTGTGAAGATGTCATTAATGAATTGTTTGAAAAGGCATTTCAAAGTTTTCAGATTTGCAGCCATGTGGTTTAGGCTTTATTTACAATTTCTTGAATCTTCTGCTTAATGGTGGCACAGCGAAAATTCCTGGATCAGATCCAAGGGGTTTATAAGAATTCAGCTCCTTTGTAACTGCTAGGAGCTGTAGGCTGTGCAAACACAGCATAAGAAATGACGCGTGCCCTGTGCCTGCCAGATGCGTTAAAGAAGAGGAAGGGAAAACACTGCTCAGACCTGGCTCATTAGGTCCAAGTTTTATTGTGTGGAGCCCTGATTGTCTTTAAATTGTTTTTAGTCTTAGATTTACATTCTTTCCCATTCTACTGTTTGAAAGTTACCATTCACAGTGATTCATTTCAGTCCTGAGTTTTGTTAACCAGAAATGAAATTGAGTATTACGAAGAAAATTTTACATCTTTTATGTCTTGTATGGTGAGGATGTAGTCACAGGAAAAAAAATTCTGTGAAAGGGGTTCTTGATACTACACCTAAGATCTAAATTTAAACCTAGAGATTTTCTGCTAGCTGCCATGTGATCTACCAAATGAAATAATTTGCTGTGACAGCTTGTGATTGACAAGAATAAGTGTGAGCACGTTTAAAATAGGCCATCTTTTCATGTAGAAGTAAATGTCAGTGAAATGATGGATTCTCATCATTTTAATTATTGATGATTTGGAAATATTTCAATTCCACAACACACAAGACACATTCTAAATAGCAGCATAACACTTTTCCTCATATCTGCGTCAATAATGAAATGTTCTGTCATATTATGTTTGTTCAAAAAATGCATTAGTTTAATGAACCTGGATTCATGCATTATATTCAGTTCCATTACTGAGTTTGTTGATTTTTAAATGGTTGTGTTAAAAGCACAAGTTTGAAGAAGTGACCCACAACCCACACCACATCACTCCTTGCTATTTGTGCTGTTGGCTTGGAAGACAGGCTCCTGTGCTATTGCTACTGGGTAGTCCTGCCCAAGCACATGCCGAGTTTTGTGATGTTCACCTGTGGGCGACCCTTACTTAATTCAGGAAGCTGCAGGCATTGGGTTGACTGTCCCAGATTTCCTTCTACCGTTTTGTTTGAGTAGGATATGTATTAGATGCATGTGCTAGTCCCTCTTCTGTCTCACTTAGCTGTGTGGACTCATGAGCAGGAGAATGGCATTAACAAGAAAGAGAGAACACTTTCTTCTGAAACAACTCATCATCCTTCTATTTCTACAAGTGAGGGTAAAACTATAGGCCTATATCTCATGTATTCCCCTGTTCTAAAAGTTTAAACCTGTATACGAGTTAGCACAGCCTTGTTCTTTAAATAAATATGGATTGAAGTTGCTCGAGATGGCCACAAACAACGACAAAAATGAACCTGTCCTTAGCAGTAGGAGACCACCTCAAGCACGTGTGTGACTGGCAGCATCTCCGATATCAAATTATTGGGAAGCATTT